GAATTGCGAGAAAAAAAGTCAGAATTGAGATATAAACGCAGAATTGCGAGAAAAAAGTCAGAATTGCGAGAAAAAAAGTCAGAATTGAGATATAAACGCAGAATTGCGAGAAAAAAGTCAGAATTGCGAGAAAAAAAGTCAGAATTGAGATATAAACGCAGAATTGCGAGAAAAAAGTCCGAATTGCGAGAAAAAAAGTCAGAATTGAGATATAAACGCAGAATTGCGAGAAAAAAAGGTCAGAATAAAAGTTTGAATAGTTTGAATTGTGAGAAAAATATCAGAATTGCGAGATATAAAGAGAATTGCGTGAAAAAATGTGAGATATTTGCGAGAAAAAAATGTCAGAATTACGAGATATAAACGCAGAATTGCGAGAAAAAAAGGTCAGAATTGTGAGGAAAAAAGTTTGAATTGTGAGAAAAATATCAGAATTGCGAGATATAAAGAGAATTGCGTGAAAAAGTCAGAATTGTGAGATATAAACGTAGCGTTGTAAGAAATAAGTCAGAATTGTGAGATATAAATGCAGAATTGCGAGAAAAAAGTCAGAATTGCGAGAAAAAAAGTCAGAATTGAGATATAAACGCAGCGTTGTAAGAAATAAGTCAGAATTGTGAGATACAAATGCAGAATTGTGTGAAAAAAGTCAGAATTGCGAAGAATAAAGTCAGAATTGCGAGACATAAACGCAGAATCGAGATACAAACGCAGAATTGCGAGAAAAAAGTCAGAATTGCGAGAAAAAAAGTCAGAATTGAGATATAAACGCAGAATTGCGAGAAAAAAGTCAGAATTGCGAGAAAAAAAGTCAGAATTGAGATATAAACGCAGAATTGCGAGAAAAAAGTCAGAATTGCGAGAAAAAAAGTCAGAATTGAGATATAAACGCAGAATTGCGAGAAAAAAGTCAGAATTGCGAGAAAAAAAGTCAGAATTGAGATATAAACGCAGAATTGCGAGAAAAAAGTCAGAATTGCGAGAAAAAAAGTCAGAATTGAGATATAAACGCAGAATTGCGAGAAAAAAGTCAGGATTGCGAGAAAAAAGTCAGAATTGTGAGAAAAAAAGTCAGAATTAAGATATAAACGCAGAATTGCGAGAAAAAAGTCCGAATTGCGAGAAAAAAAAGTCAGAATTGAGATATAAACGCAGAATTGCGAGAAAAAAGTCAGGATTGCGAGAAAAAAGTCTGAATTGTGAGAAAAAAAGTCAGAATTAAGATATAAACGCAGAATTGCGAGAAAAAAGTCAGAATTGCGAGAAAAAAAGTCAGAATTGAGATATAAACGCAGAATTGCGAGAAAAAAGTCAGGATTGCGAGAAAAAAGTCTGAATTGTGAGAAAAAAAGTCAGAATTAAGATATAAACGCAGAATTGCGAGAAAAAAGTCCGAATTGCGAGAAAAAAAGTCAGAATTGAGATATAAACGCAGAATTGCGAGGAAAAAGTCAGAATTGCGAGAAAAAAGTCAGAATTGCGAGAAAAAAAGTCAGAATTGAGATATAAATGCAGAATTTCAAGAAAAAAGTCCAAATTGTGAGAAAAGTCCAAATTGCGAGAAAAAAAGTCGGAATTCTGTGACAAAAACTTGAAATTGCGAAAAAAAAGTCTGAATTACCATTTTGTTTTATTCGGTGGCAGAAAAAAAAACCCAGCAGTGCGAGATGTAAACTCAGAACTCAGAGAAAAAAATATGATCAGAATTGCGAGAAAAAAGTCAGAACTGTGAGTTTATATCTTGCAATTCTGACTTTGCTTTATTTTGTGGTGGAAAAACCAGAATTGCGAGAGTTTATATTTAATAATTATAACTTTTTTTCTCCAAATTGTGAGAAAAAAAGTCCAAGTTGTGTGATAGAAAGTCGCAATGACCTTTTTTTTTTTTTTATTCTGTGGTGGAAACGGGTTTCCATAAGATTCAATGAGTTAAAATGCATGAGAATGAAACAAATTGAATTTAATTATGATAAATATGTAAACCATTTAGTTTAGTTTCATTTATGTAGTATGACTGACAAATATGCATCACATTAAGTTTATGTTAGAACTGTGTCATCCGAATTTTATATGCAATTCATGTGCTAAATATGAAATTTAGGCCGAAATATAAAGTCGAGTTTAAGGGCCGGTGGCAAATGCGCAGCACATCCGAGTCGTCGTTTCGAAGTCGAGTCGATGTCTCTTTACAAAAGTGAGAATGGAAATGAAGGTCTGATTGTTGACACACGTTAATGCTAATCGATCACTTCCTCACCAGGTCAACCCTGCGTCTATTTACACAAAAAATACTCAATTAAAAATGACAATGTAATGATGAAAGAGGATGAGAGAGTAATCATATAGCTTTGATTCCCGACCCCCACCACCCACCTTTATATAAAAGAAAAATGTTCCCGCAAATATAAACATACCTTTTTTTTTTGCTTTTGTTCTCACTACATTTTCAATGTGACACGTTTCAACACACAATTAAGTTTTTTTTTTTTTAAAACAAAAGAACTGATACAACGCATTTCTAAACACAAAATAACAACAGCCTACATGTAAAAATATAACTTTTACATACACAATTTCAAAATAATGGTACGTTTGCATTTGTTGCATACAATTTACAGATGTCCATGTGTTTCACTTTCGCCGAGTTTGACGACAGCATCGACGACGGTCCCGGTGACGTTATGAAAAATAGAGTCACGTCTCTCGGAGCGGACGGCGTCTCCGTCTCCGCTCGGCTTTACAGAATGAAAAATCGATCCCCGTGAACTCCTTTCCGTCTCTTTATATACTGTATATATTTCTACATTTATATATATCGATTTTCTAATAGATTTGTGTCCACTTTCAGTGCCTCCCATTCATTTTTTTCAATTTTTTTGACAGAGAAACCAGTACAGACGAAGAATAGAGAGATAAAAAAAGAGAAAAAGCCATTTTACACGTACAACCACACATTTGTACAGCTACAGCGGCTCAACAACAAGCCTGTATTCATAAAAGCGGATATCTATTATACAATGCGCAATAACGACTGTGACAGGTGGGCGGGGTTGTGGGCGGGGCCACACAGGGTTGGACACACCTCCTAATTACATATAGCCATACAGTACATTAAATACAGTTTATCCAAAAAAATACTTTTTTTACCTTTTTACTTTTTTTTTTTTAAACTCCAGGCCGTAAAAAACCTGACTGCATAGACCTAATGACTAACGCTTCCTATACGCTTGCATCCTAGATAATGTTCTCCTCCAGTTCTGTGATGATATGAGCTCTAAAAGGCACGTTGGTTGAAGTTTCGACATGTTAAAATTGCATCTTCGGGGTCCGGGAGGGCTTCGGGAGAGTCGATGGCTAGAAACAAACGAATAAACGGAGAGAAATGGCCTTCCATAGGTGATCGGCTCTTAGTCGACCGGAGCAAAAGTGCGTAAAGCGAGCCCAAAGCGGCTCCAGAACGGCCTCTGAATGTTCACTGTCGGGATCTGCTGGTTTCAAAAGAACTAAAACAACATTATTGCAAAGGTTTGAAGGGTTTTGTCAAATTCTGCAGCCGAATCCCATCTTGGTCGTTTGATTGACAGCTCCTCTCGTCCCGACTGATTGGGAATTTCCTAATTCTCTTCTGTTGTTTTTCCGTAAGGAGTTCCGCGAGGCACAGCTACAAAAGTTCGCACACCTCCACAACATCATGATATGTTTGAAGAATCGTCCCGTCGCTCTTTTTATTTGAGTGTTCGCACATAAAAATGTCAACAGGGAATGCTCGGAGGAAGATATGCACAACGAATCCCGCGCGACTCCCTAATTTACAGGATAAATCCTCACAGACGCGGTCAGGAACGGGAACACGCAGGAGGTGGTCGGTTTGGATGGAAGTTCGTTCGATTGGTTCATTGATTGTTTGACGGACGTTCAGGGGCAGAAATGATGCTGTCAAAGAAAGTGATCACTCATCATTTTGATGAATTCTGGCAGCTTCGACCTGAAAGACGGACAGACGGAGAGAGGCGTTAACATATAGTGCAACACTATTGCCAAACACTGCAAAAGCACCAAAATCAATATTAAACAATGCATTCTGGAGGACTTTATTATTCATGCCATTTAGGCACATTTTCCCACTTAATTACTTAATTTCATTTAATAATTCTCGTTACTGTAATGCAGTAATGAAAACTATATTTTATGGACATAATTAAAATAATTATAAAATAATAATTATATATAATAATATAATTATAATAAAATAATTATAATGATTATAAAGGTAATAAAGTACTTTTATGAATGAAATGCAGTAATGAAAATCATACTGTGTGGAAATATTATATTATATTACATTATATTATATTATATTTTTGTAAAAAAATTTAATTCCTGAATTTAATGTAACAATTCTCGTTACTGTAATGCTAAATATGTAAATAAATAAAAAATAATAAAAGTACTCTCACTAATGTAATGCAGTATTGAAAAAGTATCTAAAATTCTAGATATATAAAGTATATAAAATATAAAAAGTATCTAAAATTCTAGATATATAAAGTATATAAAATATAAAAAGTATCCAAAATTCTAAATATGTAAAGTATATAAAAATATATGAAGTATACAAAAAAGTACATAAAATTCTAGATATATAAAGTATATAAATATATATAATTTTCTAGACATATAAAGTACATAAAAGTATCTAAAATTCTAGATATATAAAGTATATAAAATATAAAAAGTATCCAAAATTCTAAATATATAAAGTATATAAAATATATAAAGTATGCAAAAAAAGTACATAAAATTCTATACATATAAACTATATAAAACAGAAAGTACATACAATTGTAGATTAAATGCTAGAAGATACAGATTTATAACATCAGCCATGACCAAATATTTATCAGCTATTGTTATTCAGAAATCCTCTAGCACTGAATCCCTAGTCAATTTTCTTCATTTTAGGTTCAACAATAAAAAGTGAACCTGTTTCTAATGATGCATCAAACCAAGCTTTAAAGAATAAACCAACAAAACATGAATGAAATATATCAGACATCAGAAATCACACTTTCACAAAGATCGCCTCTTGAATTTGAGTGGAAGAATCGAATTGGTAATTCCAGGTGGATATCTATAAACCCCGCGGGAGGAATCAGGCGTTTATCCTGGAAATATCTATATTTTAAAATAATTTGCCCTACTCTCATGTGTGAGAAACAGCTAAAATCCGGCTCAAGACCAGACGTGATGCTCAACAACCCAAACGTGTGTCGCTGAAAACAGTCTCAGATACATCTGATACTCATCATTTAAGAGAGATTAGAGATGGTTTATTTCAATTAACAAAACATATTTGAATAGTTTCCATTTTAGCCTTTTCAGTACTATAACTTTTATTTCAGATACTCTATAAAAACATTTTTCAAAGTTGTTAATAAAGCAAATATTATTTATATTATTATTATTTATTATTTACAAAAATATACTTTTTCAGTTTTTGTACTTCAAAATTTCACATTGTAATTATTTGTGAAATTTATTTACAATTTCTGAAATTTCTTGCTTCAAAGGCAACATTTCTAACTTTCGTTTTGTATGTTTTTCATACATTTTTTTTTTCATTTTAGCTCATTTCAGTTATCAAAAATTATTTTTAATAGTTGTAGTAATTTTAGCACTTTAACTTTTATTAAAAAAAATTTTTTTTAAAGTTGTGAATAAAACAAAGATTATTGGAGCATGTTTTATTCATCATATATTATTATTATTGTTTTATTCATTTTATTTATCATATTTTACGAAAATACACTATTTCAGGCTTTCTACTTCAAAATTGTACATTTAATTTGCCATTTCTTTGTAATTATTTGTGAAACATCTTTGTGAATAGTTAATTCGATTAACAAAACATTAAAATAATGTAAAAATATTATAATATTATAAAATAATAAATAATATAATAAATAAAAAATAAATAATTATTATAATAATTTATATAATGAATAATAATAATTATTATAAAATTTTAATTATTTAAAAAAATGTTAATAATAATAATTAAAATAGTTATTTTAGCACTTTAACTTTTATTTCAGATGCACTGTAAAAAAAATATTTTTTCGAAGTTAAAAATAAAGAAATAAAACAAATATTATTGGAGGATGTTTTGCAAAAATATACTATTCATGAATTTCTATTTCAAAATTTCATGTTCAAGTTGCCATTTCTTTGTAATTATTTTGAAAAAATTACTAGCTATTTCAGAGTGAAATTATTATTATTATTATTATTTTTTAGTATAATGCTAAATATTTGATTTGAGATGTAAAATCTGGCGGGATCGAACCCGGGTCGATCGCGTCAAAAAGCCAATGACATGCGTTTATCCATCTGCGCCACTGAAGCTAATAAATTGTTATTTTGTTTTTTAGACTTGGATTTGCGTTTGTAATTTGTTATTTTGTTTTCAGAATTGTGATTTGCTTCGCACTTCTCGGCCACCATAGGGTCCTGATCCAAAACCAGTTGAGAATTGCTGAACTAAAACGAATCAATGTGTGTGTTAGTGTGAGCACATACATCTTCAAACACTGGTTGAGAATGCTTTCTGTGGATTCTGGAGCAGTTTTAGCTTGGGTTGCTCATCTGTGTGTTTAGCTGCCTCTCAGAACACGTGTCACTTCATCAAAGTCCAGACGGCGTTTGATTGAAGCGATGCTCACGGTACAGTTTACCTCGATCTTGACCTCTCTAGAGCTTTCAGATCCTTGCCGTCCACGTCCTCCTTCTTGCTATCCAGAGATTTTCCGTCCTGCAGGTTCTCGTCTCCCTCGTCTTCAGATTTGATCTCCGAGCTCACAGACGAGGTGCTCTGACCCTGCAGACCTCCGGAGAGCGCTGGAGAGCAGACAGAAGAAAACAGCAGCATGAGTGAGGAACATCGCTCGTCTCTAGGGTTTCAGAAAAGGTCTCAAAGTGTGCTCAGTCTGAACTCAAGCATCAGTCAGCAGCATTCAGACGACAGAAGCACAACAAATGTGTTATCATTCAGATGAGCTGCTACACTGAAGCTTTCTAACATTTAATAACTATTAAAAATGCTGCATATATTAACAGAGAATTAAATCAAATTCAGGGTCGCTTCAGTTCTTCAGTCGTGACTAAATTACCTTTTCTTATTTAATAAGAGTGGATATGAATGAACTACAGTATATATAAATATAAAAAACAGATTTGGTGCTTAATAAAAAATTACTATCAATGTTATTATTGTGGAAACTGTGATACGCTATCATTAAAAATGTCAGGGTCAGTAATATTAAAAAAAACTTGTATTCATCGAGGATGCATTAAATTGATCAAAAGTAACAGTAAATGTATCTGTAATGTTACAATGTTTCAAATAATGCTGTTCTTTTGAACTTTCTATTCATCTGTGAATCCTGAAAAATAAAATGTAACACAGTTTCCACAAAAATATTGTGCAGCACGACTGTTTTCAACATTGATAATAATCAGAAATGTATGTTGAGCAGCAAATCAGTATATTAGAATGATTTCTGAAGATCATGTGACACTGAAGACTGGAGTAATGATGCTGAAAATCACAGGAATAAATTACAGTTGAACAGAGATTCACATAGAAAACAGTTATATTGAATTGTAATAATATTTCATAATTTTCTAGTTTTTACTGTATTTTTGATTAAATAAATGCAGACTTGGGGAGCAGAAGATATAAACTTGTTTAATATATTTTAATAGTTATATTTTCTACTATCATCTATTATTATTAATATTAAACCAAATATGTATTAAACAAATAATTGACCATATATAATATATTATATTAATATTGCAATTATGTGTAATATATTCTCAATATTAATAATAATATTTTAGAGGAAAGACACACACACACACACACACACACACACACACACAGAGAGTTACACACACACTCACACTCTCTCTCTCACACACACACACACTCACACTCACACTCTCTCTCTCACACACACACACACTCACACTCACACTCTCTCTCTCACACACACACACACTCACACTCACACTCTCTCTCTCACACACACACACACTCACACTCACACTCTCTCTCTCACACACACACACACTCACACTCACACTCTCTCTCTCACACACACTCTCACACACACACACACACACACACACACACACACACTCAAAAAACAGCTTCCTCTATTTTTATTAATATTGAACCAAAATATATTAAATAAATTTGATATATTATTATACAAAAAAGTAAAAAATCCATGTTTGTAGTATGTGAGTATGTTGTGTTTGTGAGACGGTGGGAGGATGAATAATGACTAGAGTTTTCTAGAGTTGGTTCCAGACAGCTGCTCAGACGGGATACGTGTGGAGAAGGAAGACTAAACAAAGCCTGATTTGGGACGGAGACACAAAGTTTGAGTGGGACGGAGTGAAAGCGTCTCTCTCTGCCCACACTGCTTCTCTCCGTGTGTTCACGGGTGGCTTGATCTGGTTAAGCCTGGTGAAGTTTAACCAGAGCTGTAAGGCCTGTTTCACGCTTCGCCGCTTCCAGGAAATGACATCGCTCAGATAAACCGACACACATTTAAGCAGCTTGGAAATGACCACTTCATGAAGACGGAAGAAAGTTTTCCTTCAGGTCCTGTGAGACGCCGCGTCACATTTATACACAATAAAGCTTCAGAAAACACTTTTTTCATAGATATGTCAAATCTTGATATATACTTTGATATATAGGGTATTTCCAAGAATACTGTAATAATTAGTATGGTAGATGTAAAAAAAAAAAAAAAAAATCAATATTTTTCATTATATATTCCTAACAATAAATATACTAAATGAAATAATAATAAAAATAAATAAATAAAGAAGAATTAATTAAAATGTATTGTAGCAGTGAAAAAAAAAATAAATAAAAAAAAAATAAATATTAAGTGTACGGTTAAAAATATGATATTACCCTTATTAAAAAGAACTATGGTGGTACCATGGTACAGTTATGGTAAAACTACTTTGAAATATACCATGGTACTGAATGATTATGATATTCACATACCATGATATTTACTACAGGGTATTTTGAAGAAAACTGTAATATTAGTATGGTAGATGTAAAAAAAAAAAAATCATTATTATATATGCCTAACAATAAATATATATAAATGAAATATAAAAATACAAATTAAAATATTTTTAAATAACAAAAATAAACAAAAACAAATAAATAAATAATGTGAAAAATATATTGAATGTCAAAAAATATGATATTCTGCTTATGAAAAGTACTGTGGTGGTACCATGGTACAGTGATGGTAATACTACGGTACTTTGGTGCTAAAATTCATGTTTTTATTTCAGTACGGTATATATATATATATATATATATATATATATATATATATATATACATACATACATACTGTATATGTATGTATGTGTGTATGTGTGTATCTGAATAATAATAGAGGAAACTACAACTATAAAAATATATTAAATAAATGTATATATATTACAATTTCATCTAAAATATTGAATTATTATAAAAATCACAATATAAATATATAACAAAAAATATAACAATAAAAATGAAAATAATTAGAAAAAATATATATCATTTATAAAATATTAATATAATTTAATATAATTTATTTATATTTTGGTTCAATATGAATAATAATAATAGGAAAATATAACTATATAAAAATATAAAA